GGAATTTATAACCAAAGAAGATGGCCAAATTCCAGAAATGTGGTTGTAGAAATCATGCTTGGAAATGTCAACAAAAGGGCTACATCTTTGGAACAAATTCATGACAGTTTTATGGCAGCCTTTTCACAAATGAATCATCAAACCTCCTCTAGTAGTAATTCCTTTTGGTACATTGTTAATGTTTTGAGAGATTGGTGGATGGGCTCATTTGAAAATTGAATATTGATCTCAAAAATTGTTTTGAGAATATACTTCAGATGATATTTGGTTATTTCCCAGCCAAATAAGCTATGTATGGTCCAAGAACGTGATCCTACAAGATTCCTTGGATATATTTCTTTTTCTGTGAAGATGCTATGTTCAAATATCAAAACCATTGCGGTGGTCATCTATTTAGATGTTTTGAGCTGCAGTTTCAATTTTCTGCTGGGAAAAGGAATCCACAGCTTTGAAAAAAGAAATGGTTGCTAGGGTACAGGCCTTAAAGTACAGCTCATCCCTTGTGTCCTGACATGCTGTCACTTGTAGAAACCCAGTCTCACAGTGGGGCCAATGAAGCACATGAAGTCTAAGGAATCATCACACTTCACAATGTGGGCACATTTTCAACCATGTTGAGAGTTATGGCATCAACACCCTCTCCCAGCCAATTTGGAGGGAGCATCTGGGTAAGACCTTATAGCACAAAAGTGTCACATTAATTGACAGGGACAAGATTGACCTACAAATTAAGCTTTTTGAAGAGAAGTGAGACTGCCAACTGAGCAGAGAGTGAGCTAATTGGTATTTACTTGGTCTGCAGATGAATAGAATTATGGTGAGGAGCAAAAGCTTTGGAGTGGATATTATGTAGCCTCAAAGTTGATGAGCTTATAGATGTCAGGGGCTGGGATGTTACAGATCTGATGACGTTCTTCGAATTCCACACAGGCGAAGAAGCCACTCGAGCCTGACCAAGAACCCAAATACAACAACAACTTAAAGATCCCTTTCTTCTTCCGAGAACCAAGATTGAGGTGATGATGGCCGGGGTTTGACTGTTGACTTGTTGACCATCCATCGACCAACCGAGATTGTAGATACATACAACGCGTTTCTTCCTGACGAAACCAGTTGATGACTCGATCGCCGTTGCTCACTTGACCATCGCAACTGTCTTTTTTCTTTTTTTTATCCCACATTCGGGCAGAGGAGTGAGTGCTTCACTCTCCGGCCCTATACATTACTTCAAGTCTTCCTCCAGCCGTGACACGATATCCACCGGACCAGCTGCAAACGATTGTCGAGTAATCAGTTCCGCTTGAGCTGGTCGCACGATATACTTAGTCCCTTCAGGAAACACCCTGGGAGTTGTGTGGATTGTATAACTATCACCCTGCTGTGCTTGTTGACCGAAGACCAGAAGGAACCCCCCCTGCTTTGTTCCAACTTCCAATTTCTTTTCTCGATCTTTTCTCAGATTTCCTTCACAAAAGCAATCAACTCTGCGCTTCTTTCTTCTCACAACCTCCGTACTCCGACTCAGATAGGCAATCTCCTAACCTTATTCGGTGCTTGTCTTAATTGCGCCACGCCCTCTTTCGGACATTCTAATTTCTACCCTCTTCACTTCTCACCTTGTCAGATATTTAGTCAGCGCGCGCCATCTCTGATTGAACCCTTCTGGTGTGCAACACTCCCCTCTGATCTTTCGCATCCAATTCTTTCGTTCTCCGCGTCCAGAGCCTTTCATCGCAAGCTTCTCTCCACACTTCAACCCCTTCAACTTCCCCCACGCCTATCTTAGAAACCATAATAATCATCGGCTCAGCCTCATCAAATCCTTCCTCCCCTCTCAAACTCTCCCGGCCCTTGGATCAATGCATTCATTCTTCAAATCCAGAAGCTCAAAGAACAAGCTCAGCCCAAACCCACCCCCAACCGATCGTATCCCAGCCTCACAGACTACAAAAGTCGCTCTTGATGAGCTTGGCCGTCTAGCCCAGCCACCTCAGTCTCCAGGAGACCAGTCTAACCCCGACCAGCGATCATACTCGCAACTCACTCATTCCGACTCACAACCCTTCAATCAGCTCGATGCCGAATTGCAACTCATCTACGGCTACATCGGGATACACACCGAAATCGAACTGGATCTGCCCACTGCTGCCCGTGCTGTCAACTTGGTAGCCCAGGAGCTCAAAAGCAGAGCACTCGAGACCCCGCTACTGTTCAGCACTCACGCACTCGATATCTCAACCGAAGGTACTCACTCCCTAATCAGAGGATTTGTCCATGACCAAGATGAATTCATTCATGGTCAGTCTTACCCCAATTTTTTCTTTTATTTCTTTGATCTGCGACAAACCGACCCCAGCGAAATTGTCTTTCAGACGGCTAGAAACACAAACTATCAGCAATCAGGCAATCCTGCAAGGAGACTTGCAAAAGCCCTCAATCTCAAATCGATTAATCATTTTTGTCTCGTTCTCAATTCTTGACAGCTCTCACAATGCACAGCGCTCACAATCTGGCGGCTTTGCTGAAGTGGATTCTTTCTCGTTACGTGAACGGACGAGGCGAGCATGGTATTATTCTTTGGCAACAATATGCTAGTTGGCGAGAATCTGAGAAAGGTATGTAGTCAATCA